GTATATATATATATATATATATATATATATAAATTCCTAACCTTTCCTAATTACAACGTAATAAACTTTTCTTAATTACTGATCGTTATAAGATGGTCACGCTCTCTCGGATTCATAAACAAATAAGTTATTTAGTACAATTGTTAAGTAACTTCTAAAACTATAAATGCAAGAATTACGAAAGTTAATTATGAAACATCATTATTTTGTCCATTAAAAGGGAAAGTGTGTAATAATTATGAGTGCATATACACCGATTTCTTATTTACAAATAATGTTGTCCTTCCGTTATATGTGTAACTAAATCTGTATCTCAAGTGTATTACAATTGCCCATCAAAAATATCAGGGCAATTCTATTCACCATAATACAGGTCTAGTTTGGAAACTTTTTTTTTATTGATTTGAGTTTTTCTTTTCATCTTTGTAGGTTTCTGGAAATTCAGAGTAGTGGAAGAAAAGACGAACTACGTCTATACTATACCCATAATAATATAACTTACGTAGAAACATTTCCTTATCGCTTAGCCGATGATATTTGGCACCAGGTAGCACTGTCAGTTAGTGGCAATGCTGTGGAGTTATTTGTAGACTGTAATCCTATTTATAAACGGGTAATTCGTGATGTTGACAGAAATATCACTTCAAGAAACACCTCGCTATGGCTTGGACAGAGGTCTTCACACCAATTTTTGTTTCAGGTTTGTAAAAAAAATACTTAACTAAAAATCACAATAATACGCTGCTGAAACCGGCAATAAGAGAGAAATTCAAGATTGCTGCCAAGATGGCTTTCATAAATAACTACAAATTGTGTTATAGAGCAGATAGTACAATGATTTTGGCGTCTAGATATAGGTTTAGAGGTCAAGGAAAGCACTGGCTATACTAGCAACAAAATCGGACCCATTTCACAAGGAGTAAATAGCCATATCTCGTGTTCTAGAGCAGATAGAAAAATTATTTTGATGTTAAGATATAGTTTTTTGGGATTAAGGCGTTCATTTCTGTTCTATATACTACAATTAGTCATGAGCTTCTAAAGATAATTAGAATGGCCATCATGTATAGCAGGGGTTGTGCGACTATGAATTGCTTCAAATACTTGAAGATAAATTTACAACATACTGCACATCAAAAGCATTTATTAGCATTCAACCACAAAAATGTATAAAAAGATATATCTTTTACTAAAATTCATCACAATTTACAATGTTAGGCGACTTGAAATTGACCTATTTACTGCTGAAACATTACCTGTCAACATAAATTATACAAAATTAGCGAACCATATAAACATGCATGTCCTGGGAAAATGTCATATCTTATTACTTCATATAAGTCCCAGACCAGCAGCCCAATGCAGAGCATACAGCAGGATTGAACAACAATGAAGCAATCATGTTGATGGTGACATTGTTACAGGTATCCTTAAAACAACATTAGGACTTTTGCAAACTGTTACAACTAATTGAAATTCCTTACACTTGTAGTAAATGCAACATGGTATACCCTGATCTTGACATAAGCAGTGATGGATGGCACACTTTGTGCATTTGTGTAGTTTTGAGGTAGATCATTTGGCACTAGCCGCTTGTACATATTTGGCACAAACAGCCCACATTCCTCCTCGAAGCCATACTCTTTATGGTCTAGATCAGGATTGTCCAAACAATTTAACTGCGAGTATGCAGCATAGAATGCCCCTAAAATGTACCAAGTACTCCTCTGTAGGGGACACCACTTGTAAATATCTGTACCAAGTACTCCTCTGTAGGGGACGCCACTTGTAAATACCTGTACCAAGTACTCCTCAGCTTTAGTGAGTGAAGCCTCCATCTGGCTCAAGTTCTTTCCAAAATCTTTCAAATAGGCTAATTTTAGTGTCTCCTACACCGTCTCTCATTCAGAGTTCTTTCTGTCCATGACGTTAAAGAAAACTGAGATACTAAGTGACCAGGACCAGAACATCAGTATCGTACGAAAGTATGACGATATGTTGTGACATTTCTTGTGCTGTATGGAATGCATGGCGTAGCAGTCTGACATCAGCTTCCTTAATATCAGCTTGTAGGTCTGGCAGTACCATAACTTGTCCTGAAGAAATCACATATTCGCAAGGTTTCATATCTGCAACTGCAGTTCCACTTAGTATTATCTGAATACCTAGACATTTCTGTGATGCATTTACAATTGTCCACTTTCTCAAAAGAAGCTTCATTTTAATCTTGTTGGAAGAAGCTGGCCAGAATGCTTCCATGCCTACTAGTAACATAGTATATTCCATGATATTATTGATTTCAATAGACTATGTACTAGATCTTCTTGTTCTTTCAGAGTCTTTAACAGATTCTTCAAGATAAATATCAAACACAAGGTCAGTGCGAGATGCACTAACGCAAAGGTTTATTACCATAGTAAAGAAACCCTCGTTAAGGAAATCCCTAAAAGTCTTGAAAAACTTTGTTCTGACACGTCTTGTACTGGTGTAATGGGAAATCCTCGAATTTTCAATGCAAATGGTTATAGTACAGTATTAGTCTTCTTGAAATGGTTGAAACTGTTTGTCTCTGCTACACATAGTGGATAAATAATGGCATAAGAAAAAATCATTATTTTCATTTTAGGGAGTAATTCTAACAGCAAATCAAGAAATAAGATACATTTTCCTTGTGGTAGTCGCTGTGTTAATATTTATATATTAGTTTATTATTCATTTATTAATATCTGGGTATATTTTTTTGAAATAATTTGAACATTTATTGAATTTCCAGTCACATGAAATAGACAGCTTGAACAAGAATCGCAAAACATATCTCTGGACACCGTTGTCTCCAAAAAGGCACTTTATTGCACGTGATTGTGGCCATCTTGAATTTTCCAGACAGCTAAGAACTAATTTCATTTTTTTTACATCATAAATGGGTTCCTTGACCCCCAAAGTTTGTATTTAGACACCTGAAATCATCTTGCTATATACTATAGAACATGATATGGCTACTTATTTCTTGTGGCGGCCATATTGGTAGCCATCTTGAATTTATCAAATGGATCAGGACTAATTTCATTGTTAGTGTTGTCAACGGTTTCCTTGATCTTCAAAACCTATATCTAGACCAAAATCAATTTGATATCTGCTATACAATATCAGTTATGGCTATTTGCCCCTCTCGGCAATCATCTTGGCGGCCATCTTGAATTTCTTCCTTGTTGACGGATTCCAAAATGTCTACCCTGGACTTGTATGAACCTCATATGATGCCTTTATAATATATGAAGAGTAACTCTTCGGGCATAAAAATGTCCACAGGACCCACCCCCCAACCCCAGCTGCATCACTAATACAGTTTCTGCAATCCTAAAAGCTAAACTCACCTTCCAAAAATAAATAAATTTAATTTTAAGACGAGCACAAATTTGGTGATAAGGAGGAAAAATGTCATTATTTTAAGCCCTTTCTTCGCTGAAGAATGTTAATAATACTTCAAATAACATCATATACCTTGGTTTCTTATGCAAACTAAGGTCTACTCCTAAACTATACATGGTTTGTTATATGTGTATTATACGACTTATGCTTGATGGAAAAGACTTTTTGTTATTTGTAACTTTATTTTCACTAAGACGTAATTGAAGAAAAGCAAACAAAATAAAAACCTTCGGCAGCAGATAATTTCTTTAAGCAGACTGGTTCATTAACTCGTAGAGGAATGCGAATTGTTTTTCCTACAGGTTTTCAAGTATTTCAACAGAAAAGTTAATTGTCTGCTTAATCGACAATATTTGATAGAAAAGAAAGAAATTTAGTACCTTAAAATGATTGTATAATATAATTGTTTTCATTACCTGTCGTCGTGAGGCAGTAAACAAATTATCTTGAATCCTACCGATCTAATTATGCTCTATTGTTTTGGGGGAAAAACAAATATATGCATTTCAAATTAACATGTTTTATATATTCAAAACTTTAATTGTTACCTACTTCCTGTTAGTATATACAGGAAATGTTTAAGTACCTTTTTATAATATATTTAAATTGAAGAGACCTATCCAATGTATTAAGATATTCAGGGTTTTAGCAGTTTTCTTTAAAGTGTACTGTTGGCACGACTCCCTAAGATTACTTAGTTTTTACATTCTCAACATAAATGTAATAACAACTGATTAAAATAACACTTTTTAGGGGACTTTGCAAAATGCGAAAATTATTGGAAAGTCGCATGGATATATTGTACAGTGTCCTCACCTGGACACAGGTATGTGTAGATTTTTCAAAATTTTTCAATATTCTTTAAAAGTAAAAACATCTAATACTTGAAGTTGATTTTTGATCAACAAATAATTAATGAATGTACTATTACATTTTACATTTATGTCCAATTACTTGTATTTCTATAGTATTTAGAATACTATAATTGTGTAAATATAAAACGTCGTATTTTAACTATGCATTTGATATGTTTTACATACTTTACCCAGTGTGGTCATCAAAACATGGTATGAAATAAAATCTTGTATGGCCACAATGGGATATTTTGAGAGACACTCCTAACAAACTGTTTCTATGAACTATGTTTTCGGACTATAATAAATATATATCTTAATGAATGTGATACTCAAGTTTATTTAAAAATAGAATATATTCTTTACGTAATCATTATCAACGTAAGCAGACGCTTTATATTGCATACTTTATTGATTATTTCTTCAGATTGTCCTACGTGTGGCCAGTTTAGAGAACTTCACTTGTCAGTTCTACATTTGGAAAATTATATCAAGTCGTTAGCAGAAAAAGTAAGCAAGCTTCTCATTTTAACAAACAAACCACCATAACATGATCCTCAATAATTATGATAAATTATGTGTTGGGTCAATATTTCCATTTATAAAATGAAATAATGTTTATGCAAGTATTTTAGCAGATTCAGATTTTATATATTAGAAAACAATTAAGTCTGACTGCGATATCTTTCTTAATGACGTATCGATATATTTGGATCTTAATTTAGATAGGCCTATGTTAGCTATAATGCTGAATAAACTTTAGATAAACTGATACTAACAATAAAAAAACAAACAAACTAGAATGGACCTAATCTAATAACATTGTATTAACGAAAGACTTAGCATATTCATCGTGTGAAATACAACTATACGTCATTATTTTGACTAAATAATCTGAGGGTGTTGAAAGTTTATTTAGAGCATTGTTATGCAAAATATAAACTTGAATATACTAAAAAAAATAAATGAACCCCCAGTCTATCGTTCGATTCACCACTTGTCGTTAAGTTATGCCGGTTTGAGGAATTCTATCTTTCACCAGTAACCTCTGGCAATCGGAAGAATAAGTCTGCGTTTCTTATAGTTGCAAAGTGCATATTATATGTATGCTTTTAACAGCCAGTGTAAATATATGCTTATAGAGGATTTGAAGAAACCAATAGAGCTCGATGACAAGAGTTGAATGCAATGAGAGATTGGTTTCATATTTATTCTTAGTATTTGAGACAGTGTCTGCCGGATAATTCCGAATAATAACTTAGTAACGTCATTGCTACGTGTCTTTTGACATCTTATATAAATATAGTTTCGCTGTGGTGAGTTAAAGGCAGCTCAAAATATCATACAAACACAAAATTAATTGTTATCAAGAATCTTCTATTGTTAGTTAGCATCATCAGAAGTAATACTGCGCATAGAAAATAATAATAATAATAAAGCTCTAAAAATTACAAACAAGAGGGGGCATTCGGTAGATAGCACTTCCTCCGCCACGCAGCGTTGATCATATTCGGCCCTCAAAAAATACGAAAACGTGTCCGTATGTACGTATTATCAACGGATGCGGACCATTTTTGGTAGGACAATGAGGAATGATATTCTACGTATGTCCACAAAGATTCATCAAAATCCGCTCATTTTTGACTGAGTTATATAGTAAACACAGGTGAAAACATAACCTCTGTCACCTTCGGTGGAGGAGGTAATGAAATGGTAAATCTAAAGTATAATATTTGCGGAAATACCACCAAAGGCATCTGGTATACCAATTTCTCCATAAGTCTTCAAACTGAAGAATGGGGGAAGGGAGTAGGCATAAACAAAAAGTCAAATCCGAATTTTTTATGATTCAAGTTCTGGAGCTTTAACCTAGAACTTTCTGAGCTCTAGTAGCTACTTGTCAATGTAAAATAGAAAAACATTGTTACAACCCATGCACGCATTCTACTTTATAAAATCTCTAACCTCACCCTATTCTTAAAAACAAAGTAATACACAAATAGATGAATTGTATAGATAGACCATCTATAAAATAGTCCAGTGGGACGCAGTAAATATTACGACCTCTTCTTCACTCTAATCTTACAATTGTAAAAAAAAAAAAAAAAATCACGTGATATTATTTTGATAATTATATTGTAACTAGTAATTTATCTATTCTTCAATATGTAGAATTAATAAAATTGTGCAAAATAGTATACATTTAGAAATGAAAATTATATTTATTTAAATTACTAGGGAAACAATTTAAACATTATTTGCTTTTATTAATGGATATTTTATTACTCCTATAAAGTAAATTAAAGTTAGTTAATATATCTAATCATAAACTGAATCTCTCTCTTTTATGTTTTTTTTTTTTCAGGAAATGTATTTCAAACTGAAACTCAAAATTACAAGTAGCTTAATTTGTCAGACAAAATGTACTAAAGTATTAATTATAAAATTTTTGCCAATACCATCATTATTTAATTAATTTTAAAATATATCGTATTCCTAATAATCTGTCTAAGGCTTGCAAAACTAATATTTCAGTTGATTCTGTATTCTTCAATCTTTCCTTTTTTTTACATAGTTATATTTGTATTACATAACTTCTGTTTAAATTCAGTAAAAACAAGTGTTAAGTCAATTGATATTATATTAGGTATTTGAAAAGCTTAATACATACAGAATTCATTTATTAAATATTTCTGGATTATTAAAAAGCATTGTTCCTTCTTTAATTAACTATTTACTTTCTATTCTTACTTTTAAGGTCACCACTTCATATGCTAAATCAGTTAAATTATTCAATACATTATGCGCGAAATTCAAAACAAACCCAATCATTTTAGTTATTGTACTTTAGAAACATGTTTAAACATGAATTGTTATACCTGTAGAAACTAACTTCTCTTCAAACCTAGGTAATTCATAATTGTACTTGTCATAAGACATTAATATTTGGCATGTTACATTTTTAAACACTACATTCTTAATTTAGTTTTCTTAGGGATTTTCGTGAATTAGAAGAGTGTATAATAATAGTATCCCAACCATACTATATTTGTCATATCCATTACCGCCGGCGCGTTTCGCTCAATCCAGAGCTCTTCAGGCCGGTTGGGATACAACAAACACAGTTGTGATTGGAACACTATTTATATAATAAACCATTTGATACAACTACTGTTATGGTGTGTGTATGCCTTTTACAAGCCGGCCTGAAAAGCTCTAGATTGAGCAAAATGCGTTGTCGGCAATATATGACAAATGTAGTGTGTTTGGAATATTATTATAATACGTTCTTCTAATTCTTAAATTCCTAAATGGACTATATTAAGAATGTAGTGTTTAAAAATGTAATAGGCCTAATATTAATGTCATATGATAAGTATACTTGTAATCATTCTTCGCCATCTTGTAAAATTGTTGTATCAAATAACTTAAATTTTCATAAAGTACAATTACATTTGTGGGACAGTAAAGATAATTTAGAATGGTTTTTAATTATAATTATTAATATAATGGAAAGTATACTTGTATAAATAAAGTATATTTTTTAATCTTTCTAAAATTTATTCAACAGGAATGTAAACAGAACGAAGTAATGCTACTAATACACTATCTTAGTTTAAACATAACTCGAAGGAACAAAATATACTTGAAATAAAAGGCAGGTTTTAACTCTTGGTTATAGTTCACCCCTAGATATGTTTATAGAAACAATAATCACAATTAAAAAGATGTACTGTTATGCAATGGTAAGTTATCTAAAACAGTTCTCACGTATAAATTAAAATTTAATGCATTCAATATTCCTTGTATTTTCTAAATCATTTGAATAGCGTTTAGTATATAATTTCAATTCTAATAAAAACATTATCTGATTATCTATATTTAAAGTGAACTACAATTAAAGGCTATCAAAATATTATAAATATCAGTAGAATGCTCTACTTTTTTCTCTTCACATTATTATGCATTTATTATAAAAACAACAAACACAAAAACTGACCATTAAATCATTACTTTTATGTGGCTTCTGGTCATAACTTCCTGTTTAAAATTTGAGATGTAAGGGAAAAGTTTAGAAGATTTAGTTACTTTGTGTATTCTATATGCTATTGTGTAGTAATATTATTTTATGAAAAGTCTTACGTCTTAGCAATTAGTATCTTGGGGGAAAAATGATTCTAGCTAGATTTAGTGATTGTATAGGCTATTAACAACAACAAATTAGTATTTCGATTAGAAAAGTGTATATTAAAAGCCTATGTATGTATGAGTATATATGTATAAAATTAATTTCTAACGGCAATAATTTAAAAACCACTCAAATCGGTCTTAGATCGATACATTTTCGTTTCTGATATTAGCTGGAATAAAGTAATATATTCATTTGTTATCGTGGTTAATAGCCTATAGTATAGCCAAATCTTTCTCTCGCGCGCAAAAACTAGAAAATCATTTTTAACAGCTAATTTTCAAAGTACTGTTTATGTCGTCTTATACTAGTAGAAAATTTTGCATTTTTTAAAAAATATAAACATGTTTTCATCTGAGTTTCGAATACGTTTAATGTGTAATTTTGTTGAGTTCTGAGAACTATGTTAACAAGTGTAAAAACAGGGACGACTAACTTAAAATCCGTTGAAGGTGGGGTGTGTACTTACAGTATCAACATTGTATGAGGTAATTTTTAGTTAAAAAAATATTTACAAAGATCATATCTTAGTGATCAAATATTCGATTTGTATAGTTAAGTGAAATACCACAACTTTAGTAGAACATGTAGAAATTTTACAAAATATATAGTCTAATTAGCTAGTTATATCCGTGTTTTTTTTATTATTATTATTATTAGATACTGTGAAGAATAACTAGCAGTTGTAAAATGTTTTGTTTTCATTATACTTTCAATGGAAGCTCACTTTGGCTACTAAAAACCTTAAACTGGAGTTAAACAGACTGTCAAGTACTGGTGAGCTCGTTTTGAAAGTGTAATAAAACCATTAAATACTAATTAGTAAATTCTAAGACTTTAAATATTTTAAGTTATTCAAATCTTACGTTTCACTCTAAATTTTGCAACTATTTCCATAACAATAGTAATAAAACAGGATGGACATGCATATTTACAAACAGAGCTTAAACTACGTAGAGCTTTTATTACATTTTCTTGATTAAATATTAACTTCACAAATTGATCTCGGAGAAAGTCGCTAAATAAGTTCAGAAATCTTGGTTTTGGAATTTTGCTGTTCACGTTTAAGAAAAACGAATTCTTGCATCAACTTTCGTCTTTAATCGTTTTTTTTTTTCCAGCTAGCTCAAGCAGAACAAAGGCTTGCGGCAGTAGAAGAATGTGAGTGTCAAAGAAAGTGTCATGTGAATGGGAGTGTTCGCCCAGATGGCTCTACATGGGCAAATGGATGTTTTATTTGCACGTGTACAGTAAGTCATTCTATGACTCCGTGGTTTTTCTTTCAGTTTCCTATATCTTGTTTACATTGTATTTTATTATAGAACAATTAGATGAAATTAAGAATGGATTAAGTAAAAAATTGTCACATCTTAACATGAACGTGTTATTTTGTCATATCCGTTTTATAAGGTAACATTTATTAAACAACTGAAACCAACATTACAATAAAAATGTAATATGTTGCACTTGTGTAACATAATTTTTCTTTATTTTATGAATTTTGTTCTAGAATTGAACTTTAGTTCAAGTCAGTTAAATAAAGAGTCATACATGTAAAATGGTTACAAAATGTTAAGTCTGATGCTCCCTATAGATGTAATTTTAATAATATCCTATATGACTACAACAGCTTCAACTGTACATTATCGTGTATCCGCTCTTGAAAATTTTGAATATAATATCTTCTAAACATATTTTGTTTTAGTTAACACTATATTGAAATTACTCCTTCAGAAATATTAAAATTACTTTTATCTATAGCAAACAACTATTTTTACAACATTCAAGTTTTAAACAAATATAAAAACAACTTTTGAAATGTATTCCAAAGACATTTGAGATAAACTATATTTAACGTATTTCTGCTTTCTGTATGTGTAGAAAGGTGAGACCACATGTCACCATAAGCCTTGCGACTCGGCGCCATGTAAAAATCCTGTTTTACTACCGGGAAATTGTTGCCCAACATGCTTAAGTAAGTATTTCATAGTCAATTATTTTTATCTTACAAATCATATTTCTTGAAGTTAAATGAAAATTCCTAGTGCATTTCACAATTTTTGTTTAACGTTTCCTTTCTGTTGGGACCGACTCCGGTTACCACTTTAAAATAATAAACTGGCTCCTCACTTTAAGGCCGAGAGTACGTTATTCGTTCAGACAAGAACAGTGGAAGAAATGACGATGTGTACAATTAACTAGCTGCCATCCCACTATGCTATCAATTCAACATTAGGGATGGCTAGCCAGGATGACCTTTGTTCAGCTTTGCGCGGTTATCCGAAAACAAACCTTCCTGTCGGTGACTTCAAAATCATATAATTTTTAATTATGAATCTTATTACTAGCGCTATCTAGTGGCTAGTAAAGCTATTATGAAAATTAGACAAAAGGTGAATATAGAATACTGTAAATGTTAAAAGTAAATGTATACTGTGATTAAGAAGAAAAATTTACTATTAATGAGCTTCATGTTTAGAAATGTGATTTTAATAAATATGGATCGGGTGAAATAAAAGTGGAGAATTTGTGTAAAGGAATAATTAAGTGAAATGATTTATATATTTTTTTATTTTTATTTTTGTAAAGAAAAGTGTTTCATGGATGGAAAACATATAGACCATGGTGAAGAAGACAATCGAAGACCGTGCCGAAAGTGCTATTGTAAAGTGAGTAGAGTCATTGTATTAGAGGTTAAACTAATCATAATATATCAGTCAAGATTGTAATAAGAAAGTCCTAGAAGCATGATTGTTCCAGATTAAAAAAAAAAAAATTCAAAACGGAGCGATCTTCATATCTTAATACTAATTAACTTTAGAGTTTTTAAAGATAGCTGGTCTTGGACTCGTGTTTTCATGCGTTAACTACTTTGATATTATTATTTCCTACTTACTAGTGATTTTTTTCTCTCATTCGTTCATCTTTGGTATAACTGTTCAAAATTTTCCTATATAATTTGATTTTTCAGGATGGAATTATTGTCTGTGAGAAGCCTCAAAAATGTTTACCTTGCATGGAAGCAGATTACATTCTTGTTGAAGGAAAATGATTTTGATATAAATTTGATTTTTCAGGATGGAATTATTAACTGTGAGAAGCCTCAAAAGTGTTTACCTTTGCCTTGCATGGAAGCAGAATACATTCGTGTTGAAGGAAAATGCTGTCCGATTTGCAGAGGTGAGTATATCGGCCAGGTTTGCTGAAGTACTTGAATCATGAATAAATAAACAAACTTTTTTAAATAAAATTAACACATCGTATTCAACAACAGAATTAAGAGATTTCGTTTATAATACTTGTATGCCTAATCCCTGCCCTGCTTAATCTTAAATCGCCCTTGCTTCACTATGGTTTCAATGAAGATTTTGATATCAGATTTCGTATTTGTTTTAACTTCAGACACGGATTACTGTTCACAAGGCCACGACTGCCACCATAACGCTGTCTGTCACAACCTCCATACCAATTATACGTGTCGCTGTAAAGATGGTTACAGTGGAGATGGAAAACAGTGCGAAGGTACAGCTATTTGTAATAAATGATTATCATATAGTTACTAATTTGCGATTTGAAGGCGATAATAATAGGTTTTATTTAGTATTTATAAAAATCGTATAGTCTCCAACTATCTGTTTTTGAAAAGACGAATGTTAAAATGTACCAGATATTTTCGGGTGACTTCCAAGCAACACACACACACAAAAAATCACAAAAAACTTGCACATTCTCAATGTTTCACTTACATTGCTTTTAGGTGATTTTCTATTATAATTTGAACTTCTTATACAAGTTCAATATATAATGTGTGTGTTGTAGAGTTGTGTAAAGAAAAGCCAATTTTCCTCTTTTTTTTTAGATATAAACGAGTGCCTCCAGACTGGCGGTCATAATGGTCACTATTGCAGAGAAAATACTCAGTGTCTTAACGTACCTGGTTCATATATCTGCGAGTGTCTTCCTGGGTACACAAGAGACACTAATTACTACTGTGTAGGTAAGCCTCTTCGCGCACATTTCAATGATATCTTTGAGATAAGTTTAATTTTTTTAATGATTTTCACTTTGAAGATGGAATAATTGGAAATTGTCACTTGTGCATAGATTGAATATGCATTAAACTGTAATTAAACGCGAAAAACATCAAAAACAAAACTGTAGTAACCTATGAAAGATACAAATAAGTCATTCTTTATCTTGTGATTTTTTTTTTATTAAACATTGTAACATGATAATATCGATTTTTCATGAGATTGTTATGGGTTATATCCTTATCCATTTTAATGAATCTTCATGGTAACAAAATAATATTGGGTTATGTATTCTGTATTCTTATTGCAATATCATTAACTTAAAAAAAAGCTACTTTCTAATTATTCCTCTTTTTAACGTGAGTTAGGAATAACATTTTTATTGCTGAATTATTCATCATTCTAACATAAGTATTTTTCGTTTTTCAGATCACGATGAATGTCTTTCTGGCCAACACCACTGTGATTTAAACGCCATTTGCATCAACACCGAAGGAAACTACACGTGTGAGTGTCGAGAAGGATATACTTGGAATGGATATTCATGTAAACGTAAGTGAATATTGGAGGGGGGGAGGGTCATGTTATTCATTCCATTATGTATAATAATTTGACGTTCAAAGGTGCAGTCAGTGAGGCAAAAGGGAAAAAAATCAACTGGTTCGAAGCAAAATTCTCAAGAATCCTTGTTGCTGTTTATCCTTAGCTGCATTAGCGATTACTGAATTCTGTGATTTAATACTGACATTGCGCCACTGGATGTATTCTCACTGGAATGTTCTGTTTTGTTTTTTCACTGATAGTATAGGAATTTTAAAAAAGGCGGAGCATCCTGTGAAATTAGAGTTTTTTTCTGAAGAACAGAAAACTGAGATTTGCGGCATTTGATACACAATAGGTTACAGGTCAATCTAGAATTGTATGTGGGTCATCTAGTTATCATAATGTTTAAAATGACACAAGAACGGTTGGCTTCCATTCTGAATCATTTTTTTTCTATCATTCGTACTATAAGAGGAATATGCTAATAAATACACAAATCGTTAGTAAATTATTAGAGAACGTTATTATATAATTTTAACATTAAAATTTAGTCTATACAAAATAATAAAGTAAAATGTGTATTCATCTAATAGCTGGCCCAGCATGTCCAGGTGGTTAGGACGCTGGACTGGCAATCTGGGGGTCGTGAGTTCGAATCCCCGTCCCACCAAATATGTTCGCCCTTTCAGACGTTGGGGCGTTATAAGTGACGGTCTATCCCACCATTCGTTGGTAAAAGAGTAGCCCAAGAGTTGGCGGTGGGTGGTGATGACTAGCTACTTTCCCTTTAGTCTTTCACTGCTAAATTAGGGACGGCTAGCGCAGATAGCCCTCCGTGTAGCTTTTCGTGAAATTCAAAACAAATGCAAACAATCATCTAATAACTATTCAGGTGTTAGATTTAATAAGGGTTAAAATATTTATGTTCTACTACTTTATCTTAACTAATAATACTGTCAAAATAATTTGATATTCGTAAAGATAATGAGGATAACTTTGAGCTTTCTCTACAGCTGTGGAAGATACTTGCATTCACCAACATATGTACATAATTTTTCACAAGTCATTTCCTTTCATGACATCGACTTAAAGAACATTGTATTTAATTTTAAGTTTTTGATACTGCAAGAAATACATATGCAGGCTTATGATACATTTAAAGTGAATTTTAATGCATTTCGGCAAAAGTGAGTTAACAATACAAGAATTTGAAGTTCTCAAATGTGATTGACATTTAGTGAACTGAAAGGTGAATTTGATTAAACGGTTTTAATTAGATAGAAAAGTTATTTTATACCATTCAAAACATATTGAAGTAATAGAAGATGTACTGTTAAGAATTTTACGTAAGAAACTTACACCTGATTTGATATTAGGTTTAGTATAAACATGTGGGCCAAATGAACAGATTGATGTAATAGCAAATGAAGTTTTGTTGAATTTATTTCTTCTTAAACAGTCTTTATTGTTTGATTTAAGTATCTATTTAGTATTTAAAGTTTGAAATTATGTTATTTGTCCAGCGGTGTGCAACCAAACCTGCTTGAATGGTGGTCAGTGTGTGGCAACAGGTATTTGTTCTTGTCGTCATGGTTATACGGGACCCACCTGTGAACTTGGTGAGATATTTTTTCTGATATTATTAAAGAAAAAAACTGCTGCTAAAGTAACTATATATCTTTGTTTCACTCTATTTTAGACAACTTGCTTAATTATTTGTTCAATGTTAGATAATAGAAACTCAAGTTGATGATATTCTTTAGTTTTGATTAGTATATGATGTTGGTTAGTTATATCAAATGTATTTTTTTGAAAAATCCAAGTGCTTTATTTTTTGTTCTTTTGTAAGAATCAAATATTTAAAATCGTTGGTGGATTTCAGGAATGTATTTCTGAGTATTAAGTTGTATTATGTTACGCATTACAATTTCGAATGCTCCGAAACCGAGCTAAATGATAATTTAAATTTGGTAGTTAAATAAATGCCGATATATCTCCAATTTGTTATATTTGCCAACAAGATTGATACACAGTTTTCTTTTTTATGCAAATATATTTTAATACACAAACAATAATACAATTTACAATAACAGTTATTACGAATATTTATAACAATCATTTATATACAAAAGTTTTACAAACTTTCTAGCAATATAAAGTCTACTTTCTAGTCTGGAAGTCCCTTGATGTCATATCCAGGGTTCACGATGAACGAATTAATTTCGAGTTGACGTAGGTACAATTCACTTAATAGGAAGCTAGCTAGCTATGTGGTCTTCACTGATCACACGCATATTTTTCCTACTGGTGACGTTAGGTAATGTTTTCTTACAAGTACTAATGTCCGATGTGAACCCACTGAAGTTGAATAATTTGTAATGTTCGAAACTTATAAACGTTCCTGGTCAATAGATCTGAAGTTTCCGTTAATAAGCGTCAACCACAGTTATAGCTTACGAAGTTTATAGCACACCAATTACAGCAACCCAATAATAGATACTGTTTTTTGGCATGTTACATTTATAGGCGTGTGGAGTGTTTCTTGAAATTTCAGTTTTACGTAACAATACTGACGCTAACACTAGAGTTTACGTGCGCGCGCACACACACACACACACACACACACACACACACACACACACACACACACACACACACACACACACAC